TTCCAAGTTTTTACCCTACCCTGAGGTGGTTACAAATTGGCATTACAGAGAAAATGCAAATATTGTGCCTTGATTGCTTAAATAACCAGGTGAGCGATAACAGGCCCACTGGGCCTCTTGTTTATGCATGCAATGGCTATGGCAGATGAGACCTGATACAATGACGTTACATTGTATATGTCGTTTAATGTTGTTTACGAGATACAACTGAACCGCTTTGTCTCTGGGGTCAAGGGTATGCAATTTAGTTTTCAAAACGACGGGTAAGGTATTGTTTGTATTTGTTGATGAAAATTCAAAATAAGCATTACAACAATGTTGTATAACTAATTCTGCTCAACCTAGCCATCATCCGATCTTTTAAATACAAACTTAAAACATAATTGCTTAATTGTTGAATAAGTTGAACGTGAATTTTGAAAAACTTAAAATATCTTTAGAGCTGTCTGGAATTTTTTTTCCGAAAAGAAATGATGTTTTTCTTATCAGAACATTGTTTACATGATACAGATGTTTTGATATCGTGGGCTTGCTCCGAATACGACGATGTCCTTGAAAGATGTAAAATGGTGTCGAAGAGTCTTACTGGGTTTCGAGATATGCAGGTTGATATAGACCACTTGCAAAATTTGTAGTCGCCATTATGATCTCATTGCAAAACAAAGTTTCATTTTCCTATGCGATTTAAATGGCTAGGGTTATTTTTACTATGCTCGTCATTTTCCCTTATTGTTTTGCTATATTTGCCGTGGTCATCTGTTTGAGGATCTGACTTCTCAGGAGTGGGCGATGTAGCAGTGAAGTCTTTGCATTAACAGTGCACCTGGTCTTATTCACCTTGCAATTTTGAAAGGATCTCTATTCCAATCTTTACTTTGCTGATAATTTGCTGAAGTTCAATCGATAATTTATACTTTTCGATAAATTTTATTTCTTCAAAATAAAAGACTTTATATTGACTATCTGTTGATCTTTATAAAGATACGAAAACGTTACAAAAGTAGCATACAATCATAATCACGATTCTATGCGCTATCTGTGAGTTGCAAGTTTAATACAAGATGATTGATGTATTTTAACATACATATAATGTTTGATAGGTAGCATAACGAATCTATATACCATAGCGGCAACACCGCAGGACAAATCAATACGAAAAACCAGCAACAAGGACCAAGGATATAGCTCAATAAAAAGAAAGCCATCAAGAATCCCGACAAAATAACAGAAGGTGAACGTGCTCCAGAGAGGTATGTCTTACACCATATGTGACACTCGTCATGAAGGCTCCAGTCAAATCCAATAATGTTGGTTGTAAAAGAACATGATGTATATGGCTGTTTTAATGTAGCAATGTCCACCGTTATGATCAGGGTTCATTTATTACCAGATGTGTCATGGTCTGGCCTACATCTTACACGTGACCAGCCAATAATTTCATTATTTTCATGTTCATCGCCGATACAGTATCATCACATCAAATAGCACCTCTTCCGGTTCGGCCTAATCCCATCAGCACTTTAGGATTCTATCGCGATCTGTATCGCAACAATGTTGTTTTCCATAAGTTCCTTTCTTAGTAAATGTATTATGTATGTTTACTGAAACCAACAGTCTTGAGAATGGATACTAAAAAAAGAAAGTGGAAAGGCTATAACTTGAATGGGATCGATAATGGAAGCCTAGTGGTCATTATTTAAACAAGATCTATGGACAGAGGCGAGGAAACAATCATGACGTTATTGGGCTCTCCGTGAATGTATTTTGCTTAGTTGAGTCATAATACGTATATTCAAGGATTGTTGACATCTATGACATGAACCACTTGTGTCCGGATTGATATCTAATAAAGCAAATCTAATTTACCGAACTTTGATAAACCCTAACCATGTTTGCTATAATGTGATTAGAGTTTGGTTAGTATCATTCAAGAAAACACTTTCGTAAAAATTCCATAAAAAATATCTTTGCGGAATAGTTTTGGGCTACCGTTTTCTTCATTTTCACTGAGGAAGAGTGCCTTGATCTTTGTCATGTAGATTTTTAATGGTAATACACAACACATGTTTTCCACCTGCAGTATGTCTCACATGTAGACTGTGTAAAGCAATGACTTTTAAAATACCTCCCAGATCATAGTTGTGCCTGTTCTGGTAATTGTCTCGCAGAGAAAAGGGTGCTAGTAATTGTCTTTATACCATTGTACACCATCGGACCTATCCTGGGAATTGTCTTCACAATGCTGTTTACATTCACACCAATCACTAAATGTTTTCACGCTGGTGTAGCCGTTCTTACCTATACAAGCAATTACTTACATAATTGTGTACACATTAGTACCTATAATTGGTATTTCCTACACATTGGTGTTCACATTCGTACCTATACTAGTTATTATCTACATATTGGTGTACACATTCGTACCTATTCCTGAAATTTCCTATAAAATGGTGTACACATTCGTACCTATAATTGGGATTGCCTACACATTGGTGTACACATTCGTACCTATACTAGTTATAGTCTACATATTGGTGTTCACATTCGTACCTATACTAGTTATTATCTAGATATTGGTGTACACATTCGTACTTATACTAGTTATTATCTACACATTGGTGTACACATTCGTACCTATACTCGGGATTATCTACATATTGGTGTACACATTCGTACTTATACTTGTTATCATCTACACATTGATGTACACATTCGGACCAATTATTGCAATTGACTACACATGGATGTACACATTCGTACCTATAATACTAGTTATTATCTACACATTGGTATACATATGCGGACCAATTATTGTAATTGACTACACATTGGTGTACACATTCGTACCTATACTAGCTATTATCTACATATTGGTGTGCACATTCGTACCTATACTAGTTATTATCTAGATATTGGTGTACACATTCGTACTTATACTAGTTATCATCTACACATTGATGTACACATTCGGACCAATTATTTCAATTGACTACACATTGATGTACACATTCGTACCTATACTAGGTATTAGCTACATATTGGTGTACACATTCGTACCTATTCCTGAAATTTCCTATACAATGGTGTACACATTCGTACCTATAATTGGGATTGCCTACACATTGGTGTACACATTCGTTCCTATACTAGTTATAGTCTACATATTGGTTTACACATTCGTACCTATACTAGTTATTATGTACACATTGGTGTACACATTCGTACCTATACTCGGGATTATCTACATATTGGTGTACACATTCGTACATATTCCTGAAATTTCCTATAAAATGGTGTACACATTCGTACCTATAATTGGGATTGCCTACACATTGGTGTACACATTCGTTCCTATACTAGTTATAGTCTACATATTGGTGTACACATTCGTACATATTCCTGAAATTTCCTATAAAATGGTGTACACATTCGTACCTATAATTGGGATTGCCTACACATTGGTGTACACATTCGTTCCTATACTAGTTATAGTCTACATATTGGTGTACACATTCGTACCTATCCTAGGGATTATCTACATATTGGTGTACACATTCGTATCTATACTAGTTATTATCTACATATTGGTGAACACATTCGTACCTATACTAGGTATTATCAACATATTGGTGTACACATTCGTACCTATACTACGTATTATCTACATATTGGTGTACACATTCGCACCTATACTAGGTATTATCTACATATTGGTGCACACATTCGTACCTATACTAGTTATTATCTAGATATTGGTGTACACATTCGTACTTATACTAGTTATTATCTACATATTGGTGTGCACATTCGTACCTATACTAGTTATTATCTAGATATTGGTGTACACATTCGTACTTATACTTGTTATCATCTACACATTGATGTACACATTCGGACCAATTATTTCAATTGACTACACATTGATGTACACATTCGTACCTATACTGGTTATTATCTACATATTGGTGTACACATTCGTACTTATACTAGTTATCATCTACACATTGATGTACACATTCGGACCAATTATTGCAATTGACTACACATTGATGTACACATTCGTACCTATAATACTAGTTATTATCTACACATTGGTATACACATGCGGACCAATTATTGTAATTGACTACACATTGGTGTACACATTCGTACCTATACTAGTTATTATCTACACATCGATGTACACATTCGTACCTATACTAGTTAATATCTACATATTGGTGTACACATTCATACCAATACTTGAAATCGCCTTCACATTGTTGTACACATTCGTACCAATCCCGAAACATGCCTAAACATTAGCGTACACATTCGTACCAATTATTATAATTACCTGTACATTAGTGTACACATTCGGACCTATACTTTGAACTGCCTACACAAGCGTGCAAACTTTTGAACCAATCCTAATTATCGCCAACACAATGATATACGCAAAATTGTACCTATCCAAATATCCGCCTACACAATGTTGTACACATCTGTACATAGCTTGGTCATTTGCTACATATTTTTTTTACATTCCAATTTATCATTTTAATTGTCAAAAGATTTCGAATAAATTCGTAACTATTTTTGTTATGCCCGCACAATGTTTTTCACATTCCTTTATTCTGTAGCCAGTACCGGAAATACAGATAAATTACATTTTCTTGTTTATAAATCAAACTATGTGCATTCATTCCTTGAAATAAATCCATATGTATATGAGTTCGTAGTTAGTGAGTGTTTTTTAAATGGATGAAGAAAGCTGTACAACGTCTTATATAAATCTGAATGATAAAGTTAATTATTACGTATTCCTCCTTTCCTTATAATCCATGATACTTTATTGTAAAATATATAAGAAAAGATCATATGTGTTAATGTATCACAAATCACTAGAATAGTCAGGTGGTTATGTTTATGATTGGCATTTTAACATCTTTGTCACGAGGACCAAAATTGACATAAGAACAATAAGCCATGAAGTTCAATTTTTAAATTTTCCTTAATAGATACACGACATATATTTGTACCGCCATCAGACGATTGGGAGAAGCTGCAGAGAGAGCATCGTGCTGGCTATGGCACAAACGAGATGAGCCGATGTGGAAGCCGACATAGACGAGTAGTGGTTTGGCCACCACTACTGACCCACCAGCCGGAGGATGTAGTGATTAAGGGTCGAAACATCTGAAGAGGGCTGGCCATCACCTGATGACGTCAAATGAGGCTTCGCGACTAGAATGACAGCAGTGACGGACTACAAGTCAAGGATGTCACAAGATGCAGAATCACCATCATCTGTAAGCAATCATCGTTTTTCTGAGAAATCAGTGACTTCCAGGAAAGGCTGGATGGAAACTGGGGAAGACCAGTGACGCTGGAGAGACAGATGACATCCAGAAACAGACTGGAGCAGGGTACTTTGTGTCAGCAACTCGAAGTATAGCTCCCGCAAGGGGGCACCTATATCAAGCTACAGAACAAAGAAAAGAGCAACACCCCCAGAGCCTCCCGAGAGGGGGGGAGGATGAGAGGCTCACTCGGACAGATCAAACGGAAACGACCAGGACACGGACAAACACAACGATGATCCAAACAACGTTAAGTGGAGAGCCAGTCGAAGCACGATGCCATTGTGGAAAGATATGCAAGAACAGCAGAGGGCTGAAAATCCATCAGGCAAGGACCAAATGTGGCCATAGGGAGATACTAACGCAGCGCACAGATATCAGCAATGAATCTGGTGAGACGCAGGAGGAACTCAGTCAGGAGTCAAACCATAGTACAGAGAGCCTCCAAGCTTCGGTGTCGCCAGATGGCAGCATTGGTAACTTGAATGAAGCGAGCGCCCATGGTGTTCAAGCAGTGAGGGACAGGAGATTAGACAAAGTGCAGTGGCCCAAGACAAATGACGAGGCAGCTTGGCGAAATCTTGATCAGGACCTGGAGGCTATTTTGGAGACCACTCTACAGGGGAATGTGGAGAGGAAAGTAGAAGCACTGACGTCAATTGTGTACAGTGTATGCAAAGAGCGATTCGGAGTGGAAACATCCAGAACACAACCCAGAGCAAAGACAACAAAGGAGAACAGGAGGGAACGTAAGATCAAACAACTACGAAAGGAGCTGAGGGAATTAAGAAAGAGGTTTAAAACAGCACCAGAGAGTGAAAAAGTTGGGATACAGCAGATAAGAGACGACCTTAGGGAGACACTTCGCCGCCTAAGGAATGCAGAAAGACTAAGGAAGGGAAGGAAGGAGAGAGCGAAGAAAAGAGCAGATTTTGTTAAAGATCCATTCCAGTTCTCAAAAACTTTGCTAGGAGCAGAGAGATCAGGCCATCTGGAAAGCTCGAAGGAGGAAGTGGAAGCTCATCTCAAAGGTGTCCATTCAGACAACAGGAGAGCAGAACCTTTAGGATATTGTCCAAGAATCTTAGAGGTAGAGGCCCCAAGTGCACCATTGGATACCAAACTTCCTACCTGGAAAGAGATTCAAGATGTGGTGAAAAAGGCAAGATCAGGATCAGCCCCAGGACCAAGTGGGATAACGTACAGGGTTTACAAGAAATGTCCAAGACTGCTAAGAAGACTGTGGCAGCTAATCTGTAAAGTATGGAAGAAAGGGACCATACCGGCGTGCTGGAAGAAAGCAGAGGGAATCTTTGCTCCTAAAGAGAAAGACTCCAAGACAGTTGAACAATTTAGGACCATATCGCTGCTGAGTGTCGAAGGAAAGATCTTCTTCTCGATACTTGCCAAGCGCATGACAGCCTACATGGTGGAAAACAGTTACGTCGACACCTCAAGTCAGAAGGGAGGAATCCCTGGGTTTTCAGGATGCGTAGAACATACAAGCGTCATCAGCCAACTGATCAGAGAAGCCAAGCAGAAAAAAGGTAACCTGACAGTGGTATGGTTAGATCTTGCAAACGCCTATGGATCTGTACCACACAAACTGATTGAGGCAGCCCTGGACCATTATCATATTCCGGAGCACATCCGGAAAATGATAATGAGCTACTTCGGAGGGATACAGTTGCGGTTTACAGTTGGGGAAAGCACTACAGCGTGGCAAGACCTGGAAAAGGGAATAGTTACAGGATGTACCATTTCACCTATACTCTTCATCATGGGAATGAATATCATCATCAAGGCAGCAGAGAGAGAAACCAGAGGACCTAGAATGGAGTCTGGCATCTACCAACCAGCCAATAGAGGCTTCATGGATGACCTAACGATCACTACCACCACACATGTACAGGCCAGATGGGTCTTGTCCGCGCTGGAGGAGGTAGTTACATGGGCACGGATGCAGTTCAAACCTCGGAAATCACGTTGCATGATTATGAGGAATGGCAGACTCAGCCGACAGTTTGTACTGAAGGTCCAAGAGGAGGAGATACCTTCAATCATTGGCAGCCCCATAAAGTGCCTAGGGAAATGGTTTGACGACACACTCAGTGACAGCCAGAACCACAAGAACACCCAAAGCCAAGTGCGCCAGTGGATGAAGAAGATCCACAAGTCGGGACTTCCTGGAAAGTACAAAGCATGGATATACCAGCATGGCATGCTACCAAGGCTCACATGGCTGCTGCTACTGTATGAAATACCAACCTCAACAGTAGAAGGGTTAGAGAAGATGGTGAATGGGTACCTGCGGAAGTGGCTTGGGGTCCCACCAAGTTTCACATCAGTTGGGCTGTACAGTTGTTCGGCAGAACTACAACTACCATTCAAATCGGTCGTTGAAGAGTTCAAGGTAGCAAAATGCAGGCTGGTGATGACTCTGAGGGACTCCAAAGACGTGAAAATCAGCGAGGCAGGGATACAGACAAGAACAGGGAGAAAGTGGTCAGCAAGCACTGCAGTTGGTGAAGCAGAGAGTATGCTCGAGTTGAAGGATATCATCGGGAATACCTGCGTCGGAAGACAAGGAGTTGGCTTCTCTCATTTCCAGCAGTGGGAGAAAGCAAATACCCAAGAAAGACGGCAAATGGTGCAGAAAGAAATCAGAAGGATTGAGGAGGAAAGGAGGAGAGGGAAATCTGTAGAACTCAGCAAACAGGGTGCGTGGACCAGATGGAATCTCCCAGAGAGGAAGATGACGTGGGCTGAAATATGGAGAATGGAGCCCTTCCGGATATCATTTCTGCTACGATCCGTGTATGACACGCTACCATCTCCTGTTAACCTGCATCAGTGGGGATTGACGGAGGATCCTTGCTGCAAGCTATGCGGAGGAAGAGGAACAATGGCTCATATCTTGTCTGGTTGCAAAGAAGCACTACGACAGGGTAGATACCGATGGAGGCACGACAACGTCTTGCGGGTCCTAGCGGATATCCTTGAAGTGGAGAGAAGGAAGAAAAGAACTGGTGTAAGAACAAACCAGGCTGGTATCAAGTTTGTGAAACCAGGGGAGAAAGCCACAGTGAAGCCTCGAAGCACCTCATCCATCTTTGAACGGGCGTCAACATGGGAGATGAAGGTTGACCTTGACAGGAAGCTTGTGTTTCCAGGAATAGTGGAAACAACACTGAGGCCTGACATGGTAATCTGGACAGAGCAATCCAGACACCTCATCGCCATAGAGCTCACCGTACCATGGGAGGAAGGCTGCGAGGAAGCTCACGAGAGGAAGAAAGCCAAGTATGATGAGCTGATGGAAAAGTGCAGGAGCAGAGGATGGACAGTATGGCTCTTTCCAGTGGAGGTTGGCTGTAGAGGTTTCCCCGCACAGTCAGTGTGGAGGACACTACGGTCAATAGGACTCACTGGGAGGGCAAGAGCTACCGCCATCAGACGATTGGGAGAAGCTGCAGAGAGAGCATCGTGCTGGCTATGGCACAAACGAGATGAGCCGATGTGGAAGCCGACATAGACGAGTAGTGGTTTGGCCCCCACTACTGACCCACCAGCCGGAGGATGTAGTGATTAAGGGTCGAAACATCTGAAGAGGGCTGGCCATCACCTGATGACGTCAAATGAGGCTTCGCGACTAGAATGACAGCAGTGACGGACTACAAGTCAAGGATGTCACAAGATGCAGAATCACCATCATCTGTAAGCAATCATGACATCTTCATTAAATATTCATGAAAATAAAAGTGCGAATTTCCATCTCAAGAAATGTAATTAATATCAAACGTACTGTTGTGTAATGCTTTAGTAATTATTTGTAATAAAAGATGGGAGATACATATTCCCTAGTGAAAGGGAAATTATAACATAAAATCAATGTCACGATTACAGGAAGCTAATAGGTTTTTGCTATCTTGTTATGCCTTCTAGATTATTTCCTTTATATATTTTTGTTTACAAGTGATAGACAGAAATACGATTTTCAGTGCAAAGCGTTGCTGATCTTAATCCATAAATAATTATACCGATTATATAGCTTTCTAGAAATGCTTCCTCCAAATAACTTTCAATCCAGAATTAAACCATTTTTATCATCTTGGTGCATATCGGTCCTTCACGATAATGGTATGTTTAAGTCATGTGCTGTTTTATAGCCGACAGCTTTGACATCACTAGCAGTTCACGCTGCTGGCATTTCAGGTTAAATAACAACTGATGCGTGCAAAGGAGTTTTGTTTTTGCCAATCTAACAACAACACCGTCACCAGAACATGGCCATTATTGCTCATGGGTGTTCCGTAAATGACACACTCCGCAATATGTTTTTTATTTGCCTAAAACATTATATAACAAGTACGCAGCATTAACCATTTCAATTTTCTCTTTAATACAATTAATAATCATATTGAAGGGGGAAAATGAGTGTGCTGTGAATAAAAGGGAACATTGTTAGACGGCGTTCTATATTGCAATTCAACTTAAGCACGTGCTTCATCTCACAAGAGGCATTGCTTTCGTAACAAATACAAGCTTTTCTCCAACTTTGCTATTCGTGTAGTGAGTCTCGATTCTAGAGAGGAAGTCTTCCCGTCCGAATAGTAACTCTGCGAAATCGAACACCCTTTAACTTCGGCAATTTCCAAAACTTCACGGAAACAACTAAACTGATCAAGTGAGAGATGGGCGGAGCTGGACGTTCACCTTGACACAGTTTGTTTGCTGACGTCAGTGCAGTAAACAAGTACAGTTGTGTGACCGCACAATGCACCAAAAATACCGTGCACACACCGTGCATACATCGTTCACACACCGTCCGCACATCGTCCACACATGGTGCGCACAACTGGGCGATTTAACAATCGTTCGCCCCATTGTGCGCTTCTCTCCGCACAACTGTGCGATTAGGTACAATTTGTTGACCAATATATTATGGAATGAAAAAAATACGGAATGTTCGTAGGCAATAATGTACACTGTATTTATTATTATAAATTCTCATCACAATAAATAAGATTATGTACAATTTTACAATGCATGTAACACAGTATTACAGTGAACGTTAGACTGTCAAGAATGGATTTGGCTCTTAGCTAGGTAACAGAACAGGTAAATAACAATTTGATGAGCGACCGGAGTTTTACCTGGCCTGTGCCTGACGGGTAGAGCTGATATGTGATACCGTATACCGTTATGAAAACACAAATGGGCGTTTAGAATTTGTAACTCGCATTCGTTTTAATCTTGGTTTTCACACCTTGGCTGGTTACGTAAGTGCCCCGGGTGGGGGAAACTACGGTCCAGGTACAAAGAGGCTATGTGTACCTATGTTGCCGAGACTGTGTTATTGCGTATATTATGCATTGTATTGATATGTTTGTACTGATGGGCCGTAAGGCCGAAAGTTAATAAATGAATTGAAGTTTACATGTGTCGATTCTAAAATTAAGAAAGGATAGACAGAAAGAAAAGCGTTTAGATGTAGCTAGGATAGGGAAACATACTAACAAATCAAGTTTATATTTTTAAACACTAAACCGTACATATTGTTTAGCCATTCCTTAATTTACACCAACCACGATTGTTATCGCACAACGTTCGTCGATCGTCCGCACAAATGTGCGCAAGCAATGATCGTCAAACTTTTTTATCGTTCGCACACCGTGCACACATCGTGTAACGTTGTGCGATCCCACAACTGTACATATGGCTATCAAAACGTTTCTGGATTAATCAACTTGTATGATTGCTTTGTTTCAAATGTCTGATCCAATCGCGTTGGTATAATAAAACAGTTAAAACATAGACATTTTTGATATAGTGTGTTTATGGTTTCCTTCGTCCAGACTTGTCTCTCTCGACTTCCGTTCCTAGAAAATACATCTAATCGACTGGAACCACTACTTTAACTTTACATTAATTAAAACAAAACAATATTTTGTTACTAATAACATTCCTACTTGTCATAGTCAGGGAACCAAGCAATGTTTACTTTAACGCATAGCCGTTTCTGTTAGATCTTCAAAACACCTGGCATTCTTGGGAAACACTGAAACCTTGGTTTAATGTTATCAAAATGCTCGTTATTGCAAGAACGCAACTCATTTTTATCACAGAAGTGATGGAGCGAAAGGTCACCGTTTACACTATAATAGTTTAAAAACACAAATATCAGTGTCAATTCCAATAGGAAAAGTTTAATTTTGTCGAAAAAAAGGAATAAAATAATCTTAAATAGGAAGTGTCTTCGGTAATCATTTTATTAAATAAAAATGGTTAACAACTGTTTTTTTTCATGGACTTCAGTCCTCTGACCTTAAACCTGTTCCACCTACACTGTATGTACGAGTATTAAATATAAAAACAGGCCTTAATGTGCGGTAGATATTTCCGTTGGTTACCATTTTACATTACTTTTAATACTCTTTAAATCAGTTGTTTGTTGCTTACTTACTTAAAGTTTCTCGGGAGTATTTTAATACATATCGAATGAGATGGGTATAAAGATGATGCATTTAATGAGGGAAAGCTGAACAACAGTACGACCCATCCCCCTTAAAGTTCTCGTCGTCATTACGAACACATGTTGTTATGCATGTACATCGTCGAGCACATGCCATTCGCGATATAAAGGAAATGTATACACCCCGGGGTAAATGTCTAGGAAACTCACATTTTAAAATTATTCAAAAGGGCATAATTCAATAGAGAGCGAAGACATGTGATGGTATATGCAACAGTACAGTGAATAGAACTATAGTGAGGAAACGTTGTTCATTGCTACGGTAAAGTGTGATATAGCATGTGATCCAAGCCAATCTTTACGTCTTACAACGCCAGAATCATGTTCCAGTATCATTACAGTAGCCTAGCTGAAACCTGTTTTATTATTTTAAAACACATTTGGAATTTGTAACTGGTTTTTTTACCTTTTTGATATTACGTTAGATGTGATCTGATCTAACTTTTATGTGTCGTATTGACTATTACTTTTCAAAATATATTAATAAAGTGTAACAAACACGTCAATTTAGCAAGGCTTTACGTTTTCAGGGATTATCTTTTAATGTCTTTAAAAAATGGAAATGAATCATTCTAAAATCTGTCAAACTGACGAAACAATTTCATCCGAAGATGCCTTCCAACGACAGGTACAGGCTTTTAACGTTGACGATGGAAGGCTCAGACGTTGACACCAGTGACGCTTCGTAAGTGATTTTATACACCTAGGCATCGTTTTGTTTTCATGTAAGTCCCAATGCGCATTAGCTAAAAAGCTCTTCTAATGCAGATACCATTATAACCTGAATTTCACTCCATATAACCGTTGATGTTTTCTGGTCCGTGTGTACGCAATCGTTGTACATTGTCAATGGGGGACAATTGTAAAAGTAACGCTCTTACGTTAGAAAACATATATATATATAATGACTAAATTAAAATCTGCAATAAAGTATGACACTCTACTCGTTTCGTGACTTGTTAATTCATACCTTACAGATGATGGCATTTCCCAAGTTGGAGCGTATATCACATTTCAACACCGAGTGAAAAAAGGAACAAGCTAAATGTGTTTGAAAACGTTTTCTACTTAAATTAATGTAACATTTATTTTAATTAAAAGATCCTACCTATTTGAGAGGTTCAGAGATCATCAAATTATATCCGACCGTTAATGATTAAACCATTGTCCTGACAACACCTTATAGACTCTGTAATGTAGCATTAATGAAATTGGCGACGGAGTGCGTGCTATCAGAAAATACATTTTATTTCACACAACATGTATGAATTGTCTCTAGTTTAGAATAACTCGCTATGTGTTCATAGTTAACGATTATATACGAGAGAGCACGGGTCGATGTCATACTAAGAAAGATATCACATCTTTTGTGTCAACACCATCAATCTATTGTTCCTTCAATTTGGCGTTCGTACTAGTTGATACCATTTATCTCAAATGACTGAGTGTAACTCATACATTGCCTAGAGCATATTCGAACCGTCTTATTTGGGAAACTAAATATGGTTAATGGAACAGATATGTAAGCCAGAGTGTCAATTAAACAAAGATACCGTTCACTTACTATATTTTTCTTACGGTAACATCTGTTTTTAATGGATAACTTATGTTCCTATTGTTGTACTTCATAAGATATTTTCTACGACCCAATAAATACTATTAGAAAATGATCTTATATTACTGTATCAATCTGCTACTTTTTTCTCTTAATGTCCCCTGAATGTCCGCATGCCTAGTACTATCGGCGTCGTTTAGGATATCGTATGATCGTATAGCTATTGTTGCTTAAATTACATATTAAATTCTATTTATTTCTAGATTGAATGTATTTCCTTTTAACAGAAAATGATGTCGGACGGTTTTGATAAATAAAAACAATATCAGTTCACGATTTTTTTCTTTTTTTTCGTATTGAAATGATGCTTAAGTTGTGTTTACAAAATGTAAAATGAGCCTCGCCGGGTGTAGGGTCGTAGGACCTTCGGACACGTCATTCCAGG